CAGGCTCCAGGCTCTGAGCTGTCAGCACAGAGCCCAACCCGGGGTTCGAACTCACAAACCGTGAGATCATGACCCCGAGCTGAGATCAGACACTTTACCAACTGAGCCACCCAGGTGCCCCCTTAATAATAATAATAAAAAAAAGAACCAGGTGAAACTAACTTTAACAACATATTTTATGTAATGCTATATATCCAAGTTATTATCATTTAAACATGCAGTCAACATAAAATTATTTTAAATTGTTTTTCAATTTTTGGTACAAAGTCTTGAAATCTGTTATGCAATTTATACTCACAGCATCTCAGTTTGGATCAGCCACAGTTCAAGTGCTCAGGAGTCACATGGGCTGATGGCTATCATAGCGGATAGTGCAGGCTTAGAGTGTGCCTCACACCTGGCTGGTCAAAAGCAAGTACGAATTCTTTCATGGTGGATCCAGACATCTTGGCTCCTGCCCTTGATTTTTCTTACACCTTGACTCAGGAGTCCCGGTTTTTATGTGAGTCTGGAGACATACTCCCAATTCCCATGGGTTGGAATTGTATATCTATTACAGGTTCTGTGAAGTCCGGCGGTACAGTAACTTCCACCTACAACACTTTCCTCAAGCTCTCGTCAAGCCACCAGTGACCTGCCAATCCAGTGGTTTCCAGGAGTCATTTCCTTGACCTTTCTGCTGCACCTGCCACACCTTTCTCCCTCTGACTGATCCTTCCCAGTCTTTTCCGTGACTTTGTGTTCTCTGAACTTCTCTTCCATGTGGATGGTCACCTGGATTCTGCCCTTGGCCCTCTTGCCCTCTCACTGTACATGCAGGGACACCTGGGTGATCTTTCTTCACTCTTGTCACCTTGACTTTCAAGGATCTTAAGTCTCTGTCTTCAGTTCCAAACTCTCTTAAACTCCAGACTTAAATATCGATCCAACTGCCTACTGGATCTCTTTCTTCTTTGGAAGATTACAAACACATTGGAAATGTGTCAACAAGTCAAAATTGCACCGGTCATATTTCCCTCGATGTATTTCTCCATTTATATTATTTATTTGGTGAATGGCATTGCTGGTTATCTGTTCATTGAAACTAGAAATCTGGGATCAACTTGACTCCGTCTGTTCATTTCCGTTAATTCTTCATCCTAAAAAATTCTGCCTCGGGGCGCCTGGGTGGCGCAGTCGGTTAAGCGTCCGACTTCAGCCAGGTCACGATCTCGCGGTCCGTGAGTTCGAGCCCCGCGTCAGGCTCTGGGCTGATGGCTCAGAGCCTGGAGCCTGTTTCCGATTCTGTGTCTCCCTCTCTCTCTGCCCCTCCCCCATTCATGCTCTGTCTCTCTCTGTCCCAAAAATAAATAAGCGTTGAAAAAAAAAATTAAAAAAAAAAATTCTGCCTCTTTTCCTCTTGACATGGCTTAAGTGCAGTGTTCACCATTTTTGCCTGGGTTATTACAATAGGTTCCTCACTGATTGCTCTGGAATTTCATGATCTGGCAATAGAGTGTAAGCTTGTCCTGTAAGGACAGGCATTCTTATGTTTTTGTTTTTTGTTTTCT